TCCTTCGCTCCCAAACCGTGGGGGCCCGGCCAGCCCCGCTTGGAGGGTGAGTATTGGACTTTGCTGGCCATTTACATTTCAAACTCAGCTTGGGAGAGGCTGGAAAACGTCATGGTTTCAAATGAAAAGAACCTTAAAGAATCTCACATTTATTTTTTGAAATAATGAACAGTTTCCGAAGCCTTCGTGATGGAAGTAAAATAAGTGGTAATGACAGATACAGAGGAAGTTGTGGCACTCTTTAGCCGGATGTGGGTTTCATCCGTTGCCCGGTCTGCCCCACGTGGAGGGAGAATTCCTACGCAGACCTTGAGGATGAGGTCTATGAACAAAACGTGATGACGAAATGGAATCCGACATCACACTTTGTGCACACAAATCATCCTCCTTGCATATTGCAATAGAAATTTTCTATAATCCGAAAGGAAACATTTAATGGAAGTTTTTGATGTGTCCAGCTAGATTTGTCTTGTAGGCAAATCGCGAGAAACAGACGGAACATTAAAATTCGGCACGGCCTGTGTGGACGGCCTGGTGCCTTTTCATGTCGGACTTTTGGGTGAATTTTTGTTTGCAAACTCTGCATTTGAACCGTGTTGTACAGATGTGAAACTCTTCATGACGTTGTAGATTTGCCTTTCTGGCAAACCTTTGGCCACACATTCGGCATTTGAACCTTTCCGCCTCCCTGTGGTTCTTCTCATGTTTGTAGAGTGCCCTTTTATCGCGGCACTCCCTGCCGCAACTGTTGCATGTATAGGTAGACTTTCTCTTCTTTCTTTTCTTGTCTCCCTCCTCCTCCTGGTCCTCCTCATTAGCATCAACGCTGTTAATTTTCTCCTCTTGCTCTCGTCCTGACATGGGACCACGAATCGTAGTCCATTTCTCAACAAGCGGTAATTTCTCAAAAAAATTGAGAATGATGTCCCTTCCGCCTGTTATGATTTTCATCTGGGTGTCATCGCCGGACTACTTGTCTGAAAGAGAAGCAAAAATAATAAGAATTCGTCATCAACTTGCTCCAGAAGCTTTCTTGCTTAATACGTGACCTTCCTTTACCTGGATGGAACTTTAGGGCCGCCCTTCGGAATGCCCTATTGACGTCCTCGATGAAGCAAGTACTTGTCAGATCCATCAGGCAGAGGGCCTCCGCCATTATCGGCAAGTCCCGGTCACCTTCAAATGACATATTATGTTCCGCTTCATCAGCGGAAACGCTCTCCGCTTCTTCAGCGGAGGCGCTGTCGTCATCGCTGATGACTATACATTCTTCAAATTCTGCATTCAAGTCCAGCTCCATCTTCAACGTGGTTCAGTGAAAATGAGCTGAAATCAGATAAAATGGAATATGAAAGGTAGGGGGCAATTGCCCCTTCTGTACCCGGCCACTCTCTTCCCTACAGTTTCCCCCCCCCCCATTGAAAAATGTTTTGTGTTCAGTTAGAGAATGTTTAAGGTTTATGAAAGGAAACACATGTTTTCTACAGGTATATGTAATTCGAATATGGTACATTGTTAGAAAATTAGCTTAATCAGCTAATGAATGAGTAACATCACTACAATTAGTCTTTATACATAGTTGAGGTGAAAATAGACACTTCAGTTACAATTTGTTCTCATAATATCATGTGACAATCCCCAATACCGACCAAGCCACCGAATCCCGTAAATGCCTTTTTGTTGCGTTCTTTTTTTCGTCGAATCTCTTCAGTTTTCCCTGCAGGGTCCTGGCAGCATCAATTGCAAGTCATTATAAAATTCAGAAAAAAGTAACAGTACTTATTGACCCTAGAAAGTGCTCACCTGTTGAAATGAAATTGTGCTGTGCGCAAACATCTTTCTCTCAATTTCGGTCGCCACCACCATTGTTTTCATTTGGCTGTACATTGGAGTTTTCAACCATATCTAAAACGGTACGGTTCACGACGTTACTCGTGATGTAGTCTGTGGTCGCCCCAATCACTCTACCAAAAATGTCCTGTAAATGCCGTTAATTTATTACCAGTTTTCACTGTAGGTCAATTCACAGCGTTAACTGTGATCTGCTCACGGGATTCACTGTGATCTTGTTCGCGGTGTTCACTGAGATCTGGTCCCCAGTAAACACTGTGAGTTTGACGCCGCTAAGCACAGAAGTACTGCAAATCAGGCTCCAATTCACGGCGTTTACTGTGGCCAGATCACAGTGAACACTGTAACCGAGATCACAGTGAACGCCGTGAACTAGTTCACAGCAACACTGGTAGAACTCAAGCGTAGTTTTACGCCTTTCTTCAAGCGTAGTAGAACTACGCTTGGCTTCAAGCATAGTTCTCCATTTTGCCCCTCTCCCGCCTATCTAAATGCATGGGAGAATTTCTTCTCTACGCTTGACGTCAAGCATAAAGTCTTCAAGCGTAGTTGTATGCTTGAATCAAGCATACAACTACGCTTCAGTTTTACCGGTGAAACGCCGTGAATTGCATAACAGCAAACATTGGTAATAAATTAACGGCGTTGACAGGACATTTTTTGTAGAGTGAACTCTTCCTTCGCGATTTTCAGCGCCTTGGAAGGCACCGTCCTCTATCAGGAAAATTATATCTTCTCTTCGCCCGACCCTGCTTACTGCTGTGTATAGCATTCCGTGACCGACGGGGGTCTTTAGATACAAACCGCACCTGGACAGTGTTCTGGCTTGCGACCTGTGGATGGTTATGCAGTATCCAGGTCTCAGTGGGAACTGGACACTAAACTTCTTACGGATACATCCTATCTGTATTATCTATCCGTAATTGCAATTGCACAAAAATGTCCGTAGTACAGATAGGATGTATCCGTAAGAAGTTTAGTGTGTGCGTTCGAATCAGTGTCTGCTCGGGGAACTCTTTCGCATCCGTCGTCCTAAGCCTGGGCAGAATAACTTTCTGGCCAGTCATTCTGCCTGTCAGTACCTCGACTCTTACGAGGTGGACCTTCTTTTGGGGCATTCGATGCCTACGGGGCCACTTTCGTAGGTGACCATCTCCGATTTTGATGCAATTTGGGTCACTTATAGTACCCCCCAAGAAAGAATTTTCTGCAAAATCTCAGTCGGATCGGACGAAAACTTCCGGAGATATTGTGAGGGTGCGGGTTTTAGGGAGGAATCCGAAGAGAGAGTAGGAGGTATGGCTAGGTTAAACACTGGGTTTATTCAGTACAGACAACAAGGCAAGTACAATCGCAAGTGCGGAGGCGTCGGTCGGAGCGACGCGACGCGGGACGAGTGAGAGCAGAGGGCGACTTGTCGCTGCTACCGCTGGACTCAGAGTGACCCGACCGCTCGGCGTCGCGGAGGTCTCGGGGTCTGTTGCGCCTCGCTGATAGGCAAGGCACAAGATAATAATGGTCAGGATTTAGGCGCATTACGTGCCTTCCCTTGAGCGGAGTGCAATTCCACTCATACAAGCTCACGCATGTGGATTCTCGGAAAGCCCCACATTCCACAGCCGCGCGTGACTTATGGCACGCCATGCCAAGCCGTGGCACGCCATGGCACGATGAGCATAGGTACCCTAGCCGGCCATGAGCTGGACATATCTGGTTACCCCCCACTCTTCCAATAATCCATTGCATAAATACGGAGGACAGTCCTCCAGAGAGTCAGTCGCTCCGAGGACCGCGCTGGGTGAAGGGTGAGTCTCGACCAACAAACCTGTAGCAGCCAGTGTTAGGCGTTAGGACCGTCTCACAATAAACTCATGTTCTTGACTTACTGAGTAGTCTGTCACTATCGAAGTTCCGAAGCAAAACATTGGTGCATCGGCCGGGAATCGAACCCGGGCCGCCCGCGGGGCAGGCGAGCATTCTACCAATGAACCACCGAACTGCAGTTAGAAGTGTAGTGTTGTTCAAACTTACAAGCGGACGCGCCATCAATAAATAAATAAAAATATTTGTTAACGTTACTGTATAAAGAATGACTGTCTCTGAGGTAAATATTTCAATATTGCAAAGATAAAATCCTTTAATCGTGTGATTCTGAATGTTTTCATTCAACAGCAGACAGCTGTTACTCCTCGCACGATTGCGTGCAAATAACGGTAAAGGCACTTTCAAGGATTGACAATTGACAAAAGATGAACGTGTATACAGGTTTATTACTATTATTTTTTTTAGGTTAGTACTTTACAACAAAACAACAATGATTAGTCTCTTCTCTCTTCCTTTTTACAGTAGATAAATATACTAATTCAGGGTACTATTTACAATATATACAAACAAGCTGTACACTTACAAGCTAATATTTACAGACAACCATAATGTGAGGAAAAAATAATTAAATTAAAACTAACCTAAATCATTAACTAAATATATTACAAATTTATCACACGGTAAGCCCTGACACCCCGGGCCGACAGCCTCGCCAGCATGCTGTCGAGGCTGCCGCCTACGGCGCCGGGCTCACCGGCTCCGGCACTTGCGCCGACCTCCGGGTCGACCTTCTCCTCGGGGGCGTCACCCTCGTCCTCGGAGGAGTCCTCCATGGCGGCCTTGATGCAGCTCTCAATGGCAGCATCAAGGCCGGAGGACGCCGGGGGCAACGAGGGGCAACTGCCCCCGTGGAGGGGGCCTCCTCGGTGGCGGCGCAGGCCGGAACGGTCTCTTCACAGAAGGGCGCCTCGGGTTGAAGAATGGGGGGCCCAGGTGACAGGGCGCCCTCCTGGCGAGGCAGGGGCTGGCTCCTCCTGGGCCGGCAAGGCGCGGTGTGAACGGTCCGACTGCAATAAAAGAAACAGAACCATGAGGCATTTCCACACGAGAGGCGCGCCGCAGGAAGCGGCACTCCGCGACGGACGAGAAGGAGAAGTCCCTCACCATGGTGGTGGTCTTCTCGGGGACGTCTCGGGCAGAATGACCAGCCTCAGAATCTTCCACAGGGTCAAAAATTGGTAGTGCGATTAAGGGCAGATTGAGCAGCCGCAGAAAAGCACAATTCGGTGCTCTCGTCCCGCCGGACTAAAGGGAGCGCCGACCGCTAGCGACAGGCGAGAGATAACTCCCAAGGCGAGGGGAGAGGGTGCGGCGGGTAGGGAAGGGGGTGGACGAAGGGACGCAAGCGGACGCCGTAGTGGGGGCGGCAGCCGCCACGGCGCGCCGCCACGGGCGTGCAAGGGGGGATCCAGATCATTCCGGTACGCTCGGCCACTTTGACCGAGGGTACGGAGGCTTTTTGCACGTCACTTAAAGTCCTCGAGCGAATCCCAGGAGTGTTGAAGAATTGTAGCAAGATATACACTTCCACAAAGCGCGGCAACAAGTGAATATTAAGGGCGCTCCGGCCAGAAATATGCCCTCAAGGAACGTCCAAACTTGTGCTTGGGATCGGCCGAGGATAACCGTCTCGCGGCACTGCGACGGCCCTCTAGCCCAAATGCCTCGACCGATCGTCCCCATTCGAAGCGTGCCCCCCCCCCCCCAGAGAAAGGACAGGGCTTTCGTTTGAGCCATAGTATTTTCTTTGGGCATTGCCCCACCAATAATATTTGTGTTCTTTTCTGTGTTTTGTGTTCTGCGGTGATTTGCACCAAATAAATTCCATTTTCTTTGCTTATGTAGGAGATGTGGTTGTTTCTATTCCTGCTGATGTCAGAAACTCTCTAGGTCTTTCTCTAACTCGCGGCAGGCTTCTCGCATGACACTTAAAGAACGAGTTACGATGATTTGCACTCGTTTTTCCATGTATCCATTCGTCAACTACTGTTACTATACTCGAGAGATTGCGGAGGGGTGTTGTTGTATGAGCAATTTCTCATAAGTAGAGGATGAGGTCATTTCCCATACGCACGAGTCCAGGTCGGAGGGAATGCCATACTGGTCGGTATGCGTGCGACAACTCTCGTGTAAGTGGCGATTCTTGTTGACGGTCACGCACGCAGGCGTATGTTGCATCGATTCTTGATCGCGCCAGGCCCCATTCAGTTTTCGACATGCAGAGAACACCATCTGGAAAACCACAAGAAAAACCACCACAGAACTGGGTGCGTTCATAGCGTCCTTTCCCTTTCATTTTCACAGTAACCTAGCTGCGTAAAACTGCACTTGCAGTCATTCATTCCGATGATTTCCATCTTTTTTGTGTATTCTTTTCAGGAGTATGTGCTGGATGAGTGCTATATTTGTCACCAGACCACACCTGGCTGGTACATAACATTCCTGAGAACGAAGTTATGGTATTGCGGCAAGGTGTCGTGCGGGACGCTGCTGCTGGGGGTCCTCGCAGACAATATGTGAAGTGGTCAATCTTTCTTTCACTTTAATAATAAAAACTCAAAGTCCAAACACTTCGGTCTATTCATTGAATCATTTTGAAGAAAAAAAGTTTCCTTCAAGACAAATGGTGAGTGCACATACAAAAGTTACCTCGCATCTAGACGTGAACTTCTTTAGAGTAGCCTCATAACCTATACGGCCAAGAAGGCTCTATATGCTGGCAAAGCTCGTGTGACTCCAAGAAAAGTTGAGAGAAAGTCCAGAGAAATAAAACCTCCTTGCCCAGACAGATGTAAAAAAATGCAGAGTGAGAATACGTGAAGAAGACAGATGACATGTGTTTGATGGGTTTTGGAGAAAGTGAAATAGGGGTTCTGTAAAAGAAGTTATTGTCGATTAGCTAGACTGACTTTCATTCATTTTTGTTTCGAAAATTAAGATGTTTTATGAATATTAACATATGTTGCTGAAAATAATAAAAATAATTCATGTACAAGTAATTTTATTTTTCTTTCAATACTCTTGTACAATTACAAATTTAAATGCTAAGTCCGAGTCACCCCTGACTCTTCTTTCATTGGGACTGTTTCCTTTTTTAATTTTTTTTCTTTTTCTATCATACTGTGAGGTGTTTGACTACTAGCACGTTGGGCAAGGATAGGTGAAGGACGACACTGGAGTAACGGAACGAGACAGGTTTTCATTTTCAGTAAAAAGTTGTAAAAAGAGTAATTTTCAGAATGAGGTGAAATTTGCAAACAACTTGACGGCACACCGAAGAGAAACGGGGGACTAAAATTTTCAGAAAAGATGGACGCGACGGCATAAATATTTGGCACGGAATAACTTACAGACTAACTCAAATACTAACCAGATAAACAGATATAGAACTTGCAAACAACTCGACGGCACACTGGGAACGGTAGATTTTATTCTAATCAACAAGAACAAAGGGGGGAACTGAATTTTGAACGAATAGACGGACGCAATGGTATGGAACTTGGCACAGAATAACTTACTCACCACCTTGATGGCACAGATAAACATGAAAAAAGGTTAAATGAAGGGACGAGGGGATTAATAGCATGAGTAATACAATACACTAAAAAGGAGACACCTAAATTAATCTCGGAATGTTCCCAAAACAGTCAGACACGCACTTTTCTTCACGACAACAAAAAAAAACACACACACACCACGGTCACTGCACCATCACAGTAGCACATCGCCGGCGCACGAGACGTCCTCGACGGGCAAGGACCTTCACCACCCACTCACCCATCTTGATGGGGATCCAATCCGCCGGGAGGGGGAGTGGGAGCGGCCTCGGGTCAGGCAGCTCCCCGACGTCGATGGGCGAGTAGCCACTGAAGTCTCAGACTCATGAGATTCGGCTGAGCCCGGCCTCTCGCGTTCCTGCTCCTCTCTCGCTGTCTGTGACCCAGACGAGGAGGATCTAGATGATCCGTGATACGACTCACCCGGCGATGAGGCTCTGCTGAGCGCGCTGTCGCGTCCACCACCGGTGAACGCGGACCGCGCGGGTGGCGGCGAGCCGCGGCTCCGCGAGTCCTCATGGTCCTCGGATTGCTCCTCGTGGGCGGCGCATGCACTCGGGGCACCGGCCGCACGGGTGGGTCCTTTTTGCTGACCGGGGCCCAGGGCAGGTGTATCTGACCCGGCCCAGGCCCTGCGCTGTGGCCGTCTCCAGGGACGGCACCGAGGTGGGACAGAACGCGTCGTACGGTGGAGGCGGGGCGACGGAACTGCACGGCAAAACCAACGTCCGGGTTTCCCAGGCGCACCCTGGAAAAATGCCCTGTTTTTCCAGGGTGCTCCTGGGAAACCCGGACGTTGGTTTTGCCGTGTGCGACGCCGTCGGCGGAAGTCGCTCGGATCCAGTGGGACGGCGGGTGGCGGCCCTTGAGCCACGGAGGCCGCGACGCTGTCCGTTGGGTGGTGCTCCCTGGCCGACTGCGGCGCCAACTGCCACACGCCCTCCGTCCGGAGGAAGTGCGCTAGCAGTTGGATACCCGGACTGCTGTTTCGCGGCGTCACAGTGTCTAGGGCTGACCGCGCGCCGTCGCAAGTGTCCATGGGTTCACCGAGGGAAGAAGGTTGATGGGTTGTGGCCGCCGGCCGCCCCCGCAAACGCTTGCGGCCACGCAGCGGCAGAGGAGTGCTGAGATGGGCGGGCCTCGGACTGGGCGACTGCGCGAGTGAGGCGGCGGCGGTGGGCGGAGACCACGCCGCGTGGAGCCTGGACGGCCCCTGCAGAGGGCTGGGAAAGGCGCCATGCACGCTTGACACGTGCACCTGGCCGTGAGTGCCCTGGGCGGCGGCCGTCACAGTGGGGTGGTGCCACTGGATGCTCTCGAGGGGCGTCAGCACGTGCTCAGAAGTGGTTTCGGTTTTTGCGTTTGTTCGACTTCCGGTCCAGACATTTGCTGCAAGATCTCAAGGCCGCCGTCTTCGCGGTGACTCTCCTTTTCTTCTTGTTTCGCCAGCAGCGTATGTTGAAAACTCTTCGGTGGTTATTTCCTTTGCGTAGTCGTTTCAGGCAGGTCCTCTGAATCAGATTCCACAATTAATTGGTGAGCAAACCAGCAGATATGCAC